TTTTTACTATATCATAATTAGTCTTTTTCCTGGTCCCTTATTAGGTTTTCTAAATTCCTGCTATATATGAGACCATCTGGTATTTTTCTTTTTCTTTCTGGCTTATTTCCCTGAGCATGATCCCTTCCAGCTCCATCCATGTTGCTGCAAATTGCATGAGTTTATCTTTTTTGATTGCTGAGTAATATTCCATTGTGTATATGTACCACATCTTCTTGATCCAGTCATCTATTTTTAGGCATTTAGGGAGGAGGGTGTAGGATCAAAACGGGTGGGGGGGGTGAGAATTGTATGGGGAATATAACCAAGATGAAAATGAATACATTGTGCAAAAATGAAAAGTGGTGTAAAATATATATAAAATTTAAAAATACTAATAAGAAAAAAAAGTAAAAAAAAAAAAGAAAGAACTGGGATAAAGGTAGGTTGTCCCATTGAAGGGAGCAGTTCTCAGGCTTGGGTGGGAAAAAGCTGTGCAATATCAGCACAGCTTTATAGCGTAGAGGCTGATAATTTTTCCAGAATGCAGACCATCCTTCCTGTCTGATAATCTCAGCAAATCACAAAGTAATGACTATATGGAGAGTAAATAAGAATTAAAAAGGAAATCAAAAAGAATTAGAAAGTTGAGAGTTGGCTGATTAAAAAACCCAAAAGAATATAGGATAAAATAAAAGAAAAGGAAATAGTTACAATAAAGCTTTTACATTTTATAATATAAAGCTATTACATTTTGTAATCCTGTCAGATAGAATAAGAGGTAAAATATGTGGTATTTAAATGGAAAGAAGGAAAGAACTCAATGAAGTAATGATCTAGCAGTAGAAGGAAAAATATTTTTAAATAGAGCTGTGAACACAAATCTTTCAAAAATCTTAAAAAGCTTTATTACAACATTCATATTTTCCTTTATAGCATTTATTACAATGTAATTAATTGCTGGGGCGAGTACCTGTTTCATGTATGTCTCCCCTCCTGGAGAGGGAGTTCATGCCTACTGCAGTATTCCTAAAGCCTGGCAGAGTGCCAGCATGTGTGTGTGTGTGTGTGTGTGTGTGTGTGTAAAAGCCTTAGTTTTTAAAAACACAGCTGTTGTTAAGTGTCCATTCAAATTTTGTTAAATAAATTTTTTTTAAAGATTTATTTATGCATACAAGAATTGAGGTACAGGACACTGGTGCGGGGATGAGAGCATTCATCAGAGACAGAGTAGGGAACAGAACAGGCGGATCTACTGAAATAAACTGCTGAGGGAAGCAGCGGACAAGTCAGGAGAGGTCTGCTCCACCATGTGGGTAGCTCCCTGGCTGGCCAGGGATCAAACTCATGCTACAGTGGCTGCAGATAACTTCACAGTGCTGTACTTAACCCTTTGCACCACCAGGGAGGCCCCTGTTAAGTAAATTTTGAATTTAAATGTAAGAGACCCTGAAGAAAGACAAAGGACCGTTAAAAAGAGAATGAGATAAAGCAGTCTATGAAATAATGTGAAATAGTTAGCTAATGTTTCAGCAATAAAATTCTGGAATAATGTTGAGTTTGCTGAGTTATATTATCAACACTCAGCAGTGACAGAAGCAAACAAGGGAAGGAAATGTGACCAGGAACCCACCTTGGCAATGTCCTCTCCTCACTCAGAGCTCCTGGGGACTGATGTCCTTTGGGGGCCCCTTTGGATTTTACCTTTGGGGATAGTGCTCTTGCAGTCTCCCCTCCTTTTTTATTGAGCTGAATTATTAGTATATACAATGTAAAAATAACCTCTTAAAGTGAACAGTTCAGTGATATTCATAATGTATAACCAGTTACCATGATTTAATTCCAAAACATTTTCTTCCCCCCAAAATGGAGCCTGGTGCTCCTTTGTGTCAGTTCCCTATCCTTGTGTTAGTTCCTGCCCCTGGCAAGCCCTAATCTGCTTTCTCTCTACATGGGCTTTATTTATTTAAAGATTTAGTTATTTATTTGGAGAAAAACTGAGGTGTAGGCCAGAGATACAGGGGTCGGGGGGTCAGGATTCACCACAGGCAAAGTGGGAGCAGAACAGGTGGATCTACTGAAATAGACTGCTGAGGGGAGCAGCGGGCAAGACAGGAGAGGTCTGCTGCACCATGTTGGTAGCTTTCTGGCCAGGGATCAAACTCATGTTGCAGTGGCTGGTGATAGCTTAATAGCACTATGCCTTTAGCCCCCATGCCACCAGGGAGGCCCTGTTGTTACTGGCTTTAAATTGTACCTGTTATAAACATAGGGATGCAGGTGCCCTTTGGAATTAATATTTCTGTGTCATTTGGGTAAATAGCTAGGAGTGGAATTGCTGGATCATATGGAAGCTCTATCTTTAGTAGGTCAAGAAATCTCCACACAGCTCTCCATAGTGGTTGGACCATTTTGCATTCCCACTAGCAATGCAGGAGAGTTTCTTTTTCTCCACAACCTCGCCAACATTTGTTGTTGCTAGTTTTTTTAGTATGTGCCATTCTCACTGGTGTAAGATGGTATCTCATTGTAATTTTGATTTGCATTTCCCTGATTACAAGTGATGTTGAACATTCGTTCATATGCCTGTTGGCCATTTGCATTTCCTCTTTGGAGAAGTTTCTTTTTAGCTCTTCTGCCCATTTTTTGACTGGATTATTTTCTTTGTTTTTGTTGAGTCTCATCAGCTCTTTGTAGATTTTTGTGATCAGTCCTTTATCATTAGTGTTGTGTGCAAAAATTTTCTCCCAGTTGGTGGGGTATCTCTTTGTTTTGGTTATTGTCTCTTTTGCTGTGCAGAAGCTCTTTAATTTGATGTAGTCCCAGCTGTTTATCTTTGCCCTTCATTATCACTGCTTTGGGTGATGTGTCTCTAAAGATGTCTTTGAGATGCATGTCATGTAGTGTTTTGCCTATATTTCCTTCTACGCATTTTATGGTTTCAGGTCTTATGTCTAGTTCTTTAATCCATTTTGAGTTGGTTTTTGTGCATGGTGTGAGGTAGTAGTCAAGCTTCATTCTTTTGCATGTAGCAATCCAGTTTTCCCAGCACCATTTATTGAACAAACTTTCTTTGTTCCATTGCATATTCTTTGTTCCTTTGTCAAAGATTAGTTGACCATAAATCTGTGGGTTTATTTCTGGTTTTTCTATTTGGTTTCATTGGTCCGTGTGTCTGTTCTGGTTCCAGTACCATGCAGTTTTGATGATTATGGCTTTGTAGTATAGTTTGAAATCTGGGAGTGGAGGGGGGAAGAGCGGGGAGAGGAAGGACTAGGGTCAAAATAAGGAGGGGTGCAATTGTATGGGGAATATAACCAAAATGAAAATGCATACATTGTGCAAAAATGAAAAATGATGTTAAGACTTATATAAAATAAAATATTAAAAAAATAAATTGTATCTGTTGGAGTGGCTATAGTAGTCAAAGAAATTACTTGACTTTAGAGGCATAGGTAGTTCTGGGATTCCTATATCTTTTAAATATAAATTTATTTCTTTTTTCACATTTTCAGAGACTTTGTAAGTGACAAGTGGCATTGATGTGTGTATTTTCTTTTAAATTTTGTAATTCTCTTAATGCTTTATATCCTAAAGCTAGAAAATAGAATAATCCCCTTGATGGTCACACACAGTGATCTAGAAGTCAGGTATTTGTGTGTATTTGCATTTCTAGTGTTTGTTCCTCTCTACATTAAAACGGGTTCAAGCACTGACCTCTTGGACTGGATGGCTCTGTGTTGTGAAGCTGCCTTTGCATTTTAGGGGTATGTCTGGTAACGTCCATAGACTAGGAGCCAGTAGCAACCCCGACCTCCTCCAAGTTACGACAACCAAAAATATCTCCAGACAGTACAGAATGCCCCCCTTCTAGGCAAGATCACCTCTGCTTGACAACCAATGCATTAAAGTCTTTCCTCTTGAGAATTTTGACTTTTTCTTTAAGTAGGAAGAGACTGTCAGTACATTATATGTTAGATATAGAGTCATGTCAGTTACACTTCAATTAGAAAGAAATCATAGGGGAGAGATGCTAAGTCATCATGAAGCTTAGTCATTGATTTTTATAGTTGTCATTCAAACTGCTGCCATTCTTAGCAAATTTTTGCTTTATTTTTAATTTTGATTTTTGACAATAGTCTTTTCTGATATGGAGGGGTTATGTCTTGTTTGGCTATACTTTGATAAAAGAATTCAACTTGATTGCCTAACATGAAGTAATTTCATGGAAAATAAACATAGCCATGTGAGTTCAGGAATACTTGAGAAACATTCTATTTTAAAATAATATTGTCATTTGACAGTTGAAGAAAAGAGGGAGAACTATTTTCCTTGATATTAAAAGTACCCACTGTTTTGTCTAGTGTAAAGACTTTTTGACCACCATTTAAATCTTGGTATTTCTCAATAACCACATGTTAAATGAATTAAATTTAAAAAGGAGTGTTCTGTCTAAAATTTGTTTCAGAATAAATTGTAGCCTACTTAAATAATTTAAGCATAGATTCCCTATAGAGTTAGAAAAAAATTTGTAAGGAGTGTACTGCTATGAGCCAGTTTTCTAACCAGTTTGTGACTTTATTCTAATTAAGGATTATTGGAGATAAAACCTTGGGAGGGATGGCGGAAGAGATCCAAAAGTGGGGAATGTCATGTTATTCCTAAGTAGAGTTAGTTAAGTGGTAGGCTTGAAGATGTCTCAGTTGGCTTTTTACTAGACAATGGATAATTTTTAATAAATCCATAAGAAAAAGACAATCCCACAAAGTGGAGCTTTTGTTGCCTTCTGTACCTAATGAAAAAAAATTCAGTTTCTGTAAATTGTTTTCAGTGCATGGAAGGAAGAGATGAAGGTGATCCATATAGAGTTCTTAATCCATAATTTTTTCCTTTTTATCTATGTAGAGAGAGATGTTACTAGCATGGTATGCTTCTTAAAAGAATACCGTGCTTTACCTGCTTCACTCTCCCCAAAAGAGTTTGAGTATTTCTAATACCTTCTTTTCCTTTTGCTTATTTAGGGACTATGTTAGGAGTGAACTGGAGTCTGCCTATGAAGGACCAATGTATTTAGAACCTCTCTCCATGAATCGGTTTACCACAGCCTTAATAGGTAAGTATTGTAATAGAATACCCATACAGAGGAAGCTGGAAAATGCCCAAGTTACTCATGATGACTCTTTCCAAATGCAGCCACCATCATTAAATATTGTTTTTAGTCTTTTCCCCCCCCATCTTTCTTATTTTAAGTGTTTATAAATTGTTTATTTAAGTGTTTTAAATAAGATATTTCTTATTTAGTGTATTTATAATCATATAGCCCATAGTTGCTTGCATCTTTTTGGGGGGTATTTTAAGTATCTGGGAAGTTTAATTTATAAATAAAGCTAATTATTTGTAAGATTAAAATGAAATTTATAATCTTAAAGCAATTGTTAAAAGTCATCACCGTATCAAAAATAAATTGCCAGAAACAACAAGAACTTAAGTCAGGATTGAAATGTTTAGTTAGTGGAATGTTAAAAATAGAAATGTTGGCCAAGACCTTTGAGCAATGTAGACACAGTCCAGAGCAGAGTTCCAGGCCTCCCATGCCAGGATTGCAAAAAAGGAAGTGAGAGAAAACCTGTTTTGTGACTCTTAAGTTCACCAGAGTAGAGATATGAATAGGTTCACTGTTAGAGATTGGAGGAGGAAATCTTCAGAAAGAACGGTTTTCTCTGAAATACCTCCCAGCCCTCCATGTTTGTAGAATTCATTGTGGACCTTTTGGGGAGTCATGTGTCTAATGTGGTTGGTGTGTGTGTATTTGTGGTGTGCATGTTGTGAACTGGTATCTGATCAACCCTGCAGTATTGAAAGCTGCACTCTCTAAGACTAGCCACTTATACTTTAGAGCACTTGAAATGCAGCTAGTTCAGATTAAGATAGGCTATAAATATAAACCACACACCTGTTTTCTAAGACTGAGTTCAAAAAAAAGATGCAAATATCTTGTTAATTTATTAGTATTAAGGTGAGATGTCTATATGAAAATATTGGTGTGTATTAGGTTAAATAAAAGATTGTTAATTCCACCTGTTTCTTTTTCATATTTCAAATAAGACTACCAGAAAATTAAAAATTACCTATGTGGCTTGTATTACAATTCTAAACTTTCATAAAGGCCCACCGTGGGTTGGCTGGCTGTGGCTTGTTTTGACTTTGGGATTCTCCTGTCTGATATATGTAGGCAGGGATGTTAGTTTCCTTTGAACTAGAATCCCCAAGAATCTTGGGGATTTTTATAGGTCCTTTTCAATAGGGACCTTTACAGGGGTGAGAAGATCCCAACAGGGATTGAACTTCCAGATTCCTAGGAGCTAAGCAAAGAAGCAAAAACAGCCAGAGGAGGGTATCTAACAACTTTTAGTCAGTTTCAAAATTCTGGTTATCATTAGATTGAGACTGTGTAGTCTAAAGTGACAGGACTTGCCTTAGGGGCAGGAGAACACTAATCTTCACATAATAGATTTTAAAAGACAATAGAGACAAACAATGTTGCTTTATGACTTTTCCTATGAGTTGATATATTCAATAATGGTAGCATGCGATTATGAAAATATTTGCCAGGCTAGAAAGCTTGTAAAGTATTCTTTTTTATTCTGTAATGAGTGCAGTTTAGTGTAAATCTGAAACATTTCTTTAAATTTTCCTGTTAGTGACTGTGATAGTCTGTTTATTCAATTAAGATTCAGTTAATTGGAGATAAACACATGCAATTTGCAGCAACATGGATGGCACTGGAAGGGATCATGCTCAGCGAAATAAGCCAAAAAGAAAAAGAAAAATACCGGATGGTCTCACTCATAGCAGGAATCTAGAAAACTTAAATAAGGGACCAGGAAAACGAATAACTATAAGAAAGTGAAAATCAAAATCAACAAAAAACTACGAACCAGAGACACTTTTAGGGGACGGGGGTGGGAGGGGAGGGATTGGGGTCAGAATGGGGGGGCTGCAGTTGTATGGGGAATATAAAAATAAAATTTATTATTAAAAAAAAAGATTCAGTTAATTGGAAGTAAAATCTAAACTATTAAGTAGCATATTTTCTTCTGAATTTGATTTTAGAATAACTTTGTCCCTTTCCATTCTACTAGTGAATTTTTAAAAAATTTAACAGTTTGATTATGCCACCATTAGAGTTGTGGATTTCCTAGAGAGGTTTCCGGTAGAAGAGTCCTCAGGTCCAAATTGCACATTTTTATTTTGATTTATTCAGAATTATTGGTTGGAACAGGCACATGGGAATAAACAATCTCCTATTCTCTTTTTGGAGCGGCGGGAGAGATTTCCACTAACAGATGATTCCTTCCCTCTTTTCTCCTAAATAGGAGTTTGCCTTAAAAAAAAAAAATACAGCACCTGAAGCATACTCTTCTGTGAAAGAAGATAAATGAAGCAGAGCTGAGCACTGAATGTGCTGGCTTAGGTCAGGGAACTTTCAGAGCTTAGAGGAAGTTTACATCATGTGGAACAAGGAAATTTAGTCTTCAGAGCAGGAACACAGGGTGCGAGGTGCCATTGTGACAGCTCAAGTCCCACCCAGTATTAAAGCTCTTCTTCTAAGCTCTTTGTTTCTGTCAGAGTTTCAGCTTTTGAATTTTTTTTTTTTTAAATTTTTTTTTTAATATTTATTTATTTATTTATTCATACAAGCACTGGGTACAGTCAGAAGCGCGGGAGGGTGAGAGAATTCACCAGAGCCAGAGCGGGGAGCAGAGCAGGCAGAAGGACCGAAGTACACTGCTGAGGGGAGCAGCGGGCGGCAGGAGAGGTCTGCGCGCCATGTGGGACCCTCCTCCGGTGGCCGGGGAGCATCCAGGTATCGAACCGGCGCCGTGGAGGCTGCGGGCAGCTTCTCAACCCAGCGCTCAACCGCTGCGCCACCAGGGAGGCCCGCTTTTGAATTTTTTAATCAAAGATGTAAAGTTATTTTTCTGTTTTTTAGAAGTAGACTTATTTTTAATAGTAAAGAAACACTACTTTTTTTTTTTTTTTTTTTTTTGGTGGGACCCTCGCCAGCGGCCGGGGAATGAACCGGCACTGCAGAGGCTGCGGGCAGCCCCTCAGCCCAGGGTTCAACCGCTGCACCACCAGGGGAGGCCCCATCATTGTTCATTTTTAAACAGTATTTGCTCCTCTCCCACCCTGTGTAGTCCCCATAGAATTTCTTAAACCATTGCACCTGTGCACCATCACCTTAGTCCCCTGTGTCTCTCTCCTTCCCTCTGATCCCTCTCCTTCCTCCTCCCCTGCAGTGTATCTCTGAATTATAATTGTCTGTTTTTGTTTTGTTGTGTTATGTCTTCTTCTTATTTTTTCACATTGATGTCTTATTTGGTTCCCCTATATTCCTCCTATAAGCGAAATCATCCGATATTTTTCTTTTTCCTTCTGACTTACTTCACTGAGCATAATTCCTTCTAGCTCCATCCACGTTGCTGCAAATAGCATGAGTTTATCTTTTTTCATTGCTGAATAATATTCCATTGTGTATATATACCACATCTTCTTGATCCAGTCATCAATTTTTGGGCATTTAGGTTGTTTCCAGCTTTTACCTATTATAAATAGTGCTGCAATAAACATAAGGGTACAGGTGTTCTTTTGAATCAGTGTTTTTGTGTCCTTTGGGTAGATCCCTAGGAGTGGAATTGCTGGGTCATATGGTAGCTCCGTTTTTAGTAGACTAAGGAACCTCCAGACAGCTTTCCATGGTGGTTGGACCAGTTTGCACTGCCACCAGCAATGTAGGAGAGTTCTCTTTTTTCACCACATCCTCGCCAACATTTGTTGTTGCCAGTTTTTTTTTTTTGATATGTGCCATTCTCATTGGGGTAAAGTGGTATCTCAATATGGTTTTGATTTGCATTTCCCTGATTATAAGGGATGTTGAACATTTTTACATATGCCTATTGGCCATTTGCATTTCCTCTTTGGAGAAATGTCTTTTAAGTTCCTCTGCCTATTTTTTGACTGGATTGTTTACTTTTTGTTGAGTCATGTGAGTTCTTTGTATATCTTTGTGATCAGTCCCTTATCAGTTGTATGGAGTGCAAAGATTTTTTCCCAATCTGTGTGGTATCTCTCTGTTTTGGTTAATGTCTCTTTTTCTGTACAGAAGCTTTCCAGTTTGACGTAATCCCAGGTGTTTATCTTTTCCTTGACTTTCTTTGCTTTGGGTGATGAGTCTTTACAGATGTCACTGAGATGTGTGTGTGTAGTGTTTTACCTATATTTTCTTCGATATATTTTATGATTTCAGGTCTTATGTCCAGTTCTTTTATCCATTTTGAGTTGATTTTTGTGCATGGTGAGAGGTATTGGTCTAGTTTCATTCTTTTGCATGTGGGAAACACCACAGTTTTATGGTACACATCAGCTGTTTTCCTACCCCTCTGTTCCTCTTCTTCCCTTTTCTCACTCCCTCCCCTCCCCTTCTTCAATGTGAGTCTTTTATTTCTTAGCTGTGTTATCTCTTTGAAAGTATTATAATTTCTTGAACCTTTCTTTTATTCCTTGCATTTTCTCCATTTTCTCTGAGATCTTTTTTCTGTTTTGGTCTTTTTATTTTATAGGAAGATTGTGTTTCTCAAGACTCGCTTAGACTCGCCTGGTTATGTTAAATAAAGAATTATAAAAACTGATGTTTAGATTCCACTTGAAGCTAACTTAAACTTTTAAATTTTACCTAAATTTCTGGGGTTCTTGATTAAATCATTTGTATTAAAGTGAGTTATTACATTGTTGATGGGAATCTCCTTGGGCCATGCCAACTAGTGTGTTCCTCTGTGGGTAATCAGTGGGAGTGGCTGTTTTGGGGGGAGATTCTTGCATGTGAGTTTTTGCAGGTCTTTTCACTCTGACAGGTCAGTTCCCCCTAGGAGGACTCTTCCTTCCCTGTAGGAAGGCCTGTGCAGGTACCTGGAACTGTGTGGCAACACACCTGGCACGATGCATGGAGCTCTCATCTTTCAGGGTCCAGACTTTTATTTTAATCCCTTCTTTACCCAGGGGCTGTGCCAAGGAGCCTGTCTACCTTTCCAGAAAGCAAATTTCCCTCTCTCAGGTGGGGAGAGTAGTCTTGGATAATACCACAGATGCGTTATCTCTCCTTTTTAATTCTCTGAATTGGTACTGATGTAGCACAACAAATTTAATAAATGAAGCATGTAACCACATATTTTCTTTATTATTGTAGATTTTTCTTTTTTATGCCTTTATGACAAGTTTTTCACATTATTTGCATATAGGTGCTTTCAAAGTTAAAATTAACATTTGTGAGAGAAAAATACCACATGTGCTTTATAGTAGATTGTTAATAAATGTTCACCCTTAGGTTAAATGGTTGCCATTTTTATGTTCTTATAACAATTATATGGGTAGAACACTATACAAAATCCCAAAATAGAGTATATTACACTGAATGCATATGTTTTGCTTTCATTGGCAAGAAGGAAGAGAATTTGACTAAATGATTCTTAAAATTATCTGGAAGATGACATGTTCAGAATATCTGAGAAATTCAGGTAGGTGCAGTGAAGAGGATTTTGGTCCCATCAGGGACATGGAACAGAATGTCACTGCCATCAGAGTGAATGATTGAACAAAAATGGCAAGTTCCAACACAGATACAGGTTTACAGAAGATTTAGAAGTATGCTAAAGTGACATTTCAAGTTAATGAGAAAAGAATTAAATAATTCCAATAGTTTTTTAAGATTTATTTTTATTTCTTTATGCATGCAAGGAACTGGGATATAGGCCAGAAGTGTGTGTGTGTTGGGGGGGAGTGAAAGGTTTCACCAGAGACAAAGTGGGTAGCAGAGCAGGCAGATCTACTGAAATACACTGCTGAGGGGAGCAGCCGGTGAGTCAGGAGAGGTCTGCTGTACCATGTGGGTCAGCTCCCTGGCCGGAGATTAAACTTGTGCTCCAGTGGCTGCGGATAGCATCACAGTGCTGAGTCTTAACCCCTTGAGCCACCAGGGAGGCCCTTTATTAGGTAGTTTTTCTATAACTGACTAAATATCTGGGCAAAACAAACTTAGATTTTTACTTTTTATCTTATTCCATAGCAAAATGTATTGAATTTTAATTTATTATTTTTTAATGTGTTGCTTTTAAAATAAAACATGTTTAAAAGAAAGTAAAGGTGAACTCTTATCTACCGTGAATGGGTAAGCTATGTAATTAACTGTGGAAGCAGAAGTGGAAACCACGAAGAAGATAGGCTTGGCTGCTTACAGTAAACACTTCTGTAAGAGAAGAACATTTTTAAAAACTTTCAGACAAATGACACTTTGGGAAAACATGGTCATACAACAAAGGATTAATGACTTGATCAAACAGTAGAAGCCTATGCATCTTGGCAGACGAATGGGCAAAGAATATGGACCAGTATTTCACCAAGTAATTGCAGATGTTTTTATGTACTTGTAATATTTAATGCTATTGTAACGAACAACATACCAATTTTAAAAATCTTAGAAATATTTCTTGCTCTTCTCCTTAAATTATGTTCACTGTCAACAACTCAAAAGGAAAATGAGCACCCTCTACTCTAGGCATTTGGTTTCTGGGGGATAATCTGGCAGTATGTGTCCAAAGCCTTAAAAAATGTTCTGCTTGACTCAGTAATTCCACTTTTCAGGAATTTAGTCTAAGAAGATATTCAATAGGTTGAGATAAAGATGTTATAAACAGATAAGTTGATTCATAGAAATCATTTTATTTTTATTTTTAAAAAAGATTTATTTATACATATAAGAACTGGGATGTAGCTCAGTGGTGCAGGGGGTGAGAGGATTCACCAGAGATAGAGTGAGGAGCAGAGCAGGTAGATCTACTGAGATACACTGCTGAGGGGAGCATCTGGGTGAGACAGGTGAGGTCTGCTTTGTTATGTGGGTTAGCTCCCTGACTGGGGATTGAAATCATGCTGCAGTGGCTGCCGATAGCTTCATAGTGCTGAGACTTAACCCCTTACGCCGCCAGGGAGGCCCATTCATAGAAATCATTTTAAAATTATGAAATATATGGAAACAGTCAAGTGCTAATATTACATATACATTCAGTGTAATATACTAGACAACTGAAAAATGAACTGTGTATGTATGTTTATTAGTGGGGAGAGATGTGAAATGTATAAATGGAAAGAAACTGATTATGAAGTATATAATATGTATGCTGTGATCTTTAAAGCATTTGTGTATATCATGTGCATAGGAAAATCTGGAAAGATAACAATATGGATACTTAACTTTCACTTCACGCTTACTAGGCTGTAGTTGTAATGCTAAGGCTTTATATGCAGTGCTTCATTTTATAAAACCCAAGATCTTAACAGTGCTACTTTTGGGTGGTTGAATTATGAGAAAATGAGGTGTTTTTTCCTCCACCCCTTTTTTTCTCTTTTCTGAGTTTTATATAATCACATGTAATCACATGTAATATGTATATAATCACATGTAATTATATAATATAATTTATATATTATATAAATGTAATTATATAATATAATTTATATATTATATAAATATTATATTTATATAATCACATATAATGTGAGAAGAATTTGTTGCTTAAACTTTTCATTTTTAATCTTCGTTATTGAGTTACTTGCAAAACCTTGCGTGGTCCTACATAAAACAGAGATCTAAACCTCAGACAGATCTTTCTCGAGGCATTATGATCTTGGATATTTAACTGTCTCTTGAGTTTTATGTTTTTGCCTGTAATTCACAACAGTTAATTATTAAGGACTTTTGAAAAAAGGAGCTATACATAAACAGTCACTGATTTATTATAATATTGAAATTGACATTGTATAAATCCATACTGCACAAGCCATCTGGAATGTATGACCAGTAATTAGTTGTGCTGCATTTTTCAAGTTTAATCCTAGGTAATTGGTGTTCAAAGTTCATAGTTCATGTGTACATGCCATTATGGTCAGATGAAATTAAAGATTGATTAAAGTTATTGTCTAAGAGGTCTTAAAAGGCGTCTTCAAAAGCTGTGTCATCTTCCTTACTGATTTTTTGTTGTTTTTATTTTATGGGTACTGAGTGCTCAAAATTAAATGCCTTCTGCTCCCTGTTTTAGGTCAATTGGTGGTATGTACTTTATGCTCCTGTGTCATGAAAACGAAGCAGATCTGGCTCTTTTCAGCTCACATGCTTCCTCTACTGGCACGGCTCTGTCTGGTTCCTCTGGAGACCATTGTTATCATCAACAAATTTGCTATGATTTTTACTGGATTGGAAGTTCTGTATTTTCTGGGGTCTAATCTTTTAGTCCCTTATAACCTTGCTAAGTCTGCATATAGAGAATTGGTTCAGGTAAGACTGACAATCACACACAGGTAGATAAAATCCTATATAACAGCACATTAAATATTTAATAATCCACTACTATTTTACAATCATTGTATTATTCTGTTTCAGAGTTGCAGCTATTTTCAATGCAATTAGGAGCATATGAGATTCTTTATTGTGCACTTTTGTCAAGAGGCAGTAAAGTGAAGTGATTGGATGCAGACTCTTGCGTTGTTTGGTCTTCTCTGTCTACTAGCTGTGTAACCAGGGGTAGTCACTTTTCTCAGCTTATCTGCAGAATGGAGCTAATAATAACAGCTGCACTTAACTCACAGGGTTGCTGTGAGATTAAAATGGGTTCAGTGCCAGGTGTGTTAGCGATTGTAAACAAGACAAAAATAATGAAAGAATAGCGTACCTACAAGTAGTCCTGATTTTTTTCCTCCTGATTATCTTCCAACTGTGACCAGTTTTTTCCTATGTTCGCCTTAATGTATTTACTTACTTACTTACTTATTTATTTATTTATTTATTTATTTATTTATTTATTTATTTATGCCAGGCACATAAAAGGTTTTATTAATCCTCTCATGAAAAATCTGCATAATCACCACAGATACAGATAAAGTCACTGCAGAATCTTTACTTCTTCTTTTTGCCAGCGCCAACATTGGACTTTGCAGTCCCCCTGACTTTCTTCATTCTGTTCTTGCGTTCCTTTTGCTGTTTTCTTGAGGTCTTTTTCTTCTCATAAAGGCCATGTCTTGCAAGTCTGTGTTCGGGTTCACTTTTCTTTGCATAATCCAAGGAATCATAAATCATGTCAAAGCCAGTTGTTTTGCCACCTCCAAAATGGGTTCTGAATCCAAATACAAAGATGACATCGGGGTGGTCTTGTACATTTTTGCTAGTTTTCCCCAAATTTCTGTCTTAGGTACTGTTGCCTTTCCGGGGTGAAGGACGTCAATGACCATTTGTTTTTGCTGGAGCAGTCGGTTGGTCATGAATTTCCTAATCCGGATAGTCACTGCGTCATTGATGATGGCGGTGGATCTTCAGGCAGCCAGGAGGAAAAGAAAGTTGCCTTAATATATTTAAACTGAGAAGTTAAATTGTCCTGGGCTATGATATGATGGATTTCACTCCCTCCCCACCTGCCCCCAGTTTTTGCCCTGGGGTTTTTTTGTTTGTTTTTTTTTGTTTGTTTTTTAGTCTTTGCTCCATAGTGGATTATTCCCAGACACAAGCAGTAGCTATTCAGGAATAGCTTTTTCTATTCTACTTAATTGTTAAGTTTCAGTATTTAAAAAGGAGTCTTAAAACTGACTTAGGTGTGAAGAGATTATTAGCATGTACATTCCCTTCTACTTCTGTACTATGTGTAGGTGACATGAAGGTATAGGGAACTCTCAGATTGACTGATACCATCAAATGAGGCATTATTTTTGTGGTTGCTATGCCCCCAGGGACAGAATGGCTGGAAAAATTTTCCAAGTTCCTGGCCTTGGGCTGATTCTACTTTCTTGGGTGATTTTCCTGGAAGTATATCTTCCAAGGGAGAGGAGGAGATTTTTAGATTAGATAGAGGTTGCTACATGGGAAAAGGCTGAGGTGGCATTCAGAGTAAGAATTGGGTAGGCAGGAAATGGAAGCTGTCAGGGTGTTTAGTGGTCTGTTCTTTGAATAGGGAGGAGGGAGAGCAGTCTCTCATTCACTGATGAGTTTGCTGCTAATAATAACCTTTGCAACTAGCTGGGCAGTTTCCCTTTTTTTGATAATATTTTCTAGTTGGGGGAAAATGGACTTTAGTTGTGACTAGTTGTGACTGGACTTTAGAAAAAGTTTTAGGGATGAAAGGAATTTTAATTTAGAATAACCTCAGTGTATCTTAACCTAATACTTCAAGATCATTACTACTTGTTCTCTACTTAGGGATGTTAATCAGAAACCAAAAAAACTTGTAAGACTCTTTCAGTTAAGATCACTCTAGTTTGTTAAAATATTTTTGTTCACATTGAGAGATTCCAGCTGAATAGGTTAAAGTTCATAAGCTGCCTGGCAGAACCCATTTGTGTTACCAGATTCTGGTGCCTGTGTTCTAACTCCAGAAACTTGGTCACATCCGTACTTTCGTATGGATGTACAATTCTCAGATTGTGAGAATTTATACTTCCTAATCAATCTCATTAGAGATTGTTTTATAAACTAGAAAACTAACTTACTGACATATAGTAGACTAACTTTTTTTTAGGTGTGCCTTTTTCCTGGTGTTAATCTACTTGGCTGACCAAATAAGTTGAGAAATGTCTCATGATACATACATAGTAAAGAATAGGGGAATTTATTTGTCTGAGAGAAGTGACTTGCAAACTATCTTTGCTTCACAATAAGCTTATCCAGTTGTTAAATATTTTGATCTTGTATCAAAATATATCTCATCTCTGGGCCTCCCCTGGTGGCGCAGTGGTTGAGCACTGGGCTGCGAAGCTGCCTGCAGCCTCTGCAGCGCCAGTTCGATCCCCGGCCACCAGGGAGGGTCCCACATGGCGCACAGACCTCTCCTGCCGTGCCTGCTGCTCCCCTCAGCAGTGTATTTCATCAGTCTGCCTGTTCTGTTCCCCGCTCTGGCTCTGGTGAATTCTCTCACCCTCCTGTGCTTCTGACTGTACCCAGTGCTTGTATAAATAAATAAATAAATCTTTTAAATATATATATATCTCATCTCTGACATTCGTGAGTAAACCTAAAAAATTCTTCCTTTGACATTTCCCTTTTCCCCAGCTTCTCAAACACCTTTCCATCATTTCTTCCTTTAGACTAGTCCTGGCTATTTCTACTAGATAGTAAGTTTACCAAGTCTATCACTACCTCTGAAGTAGTTTCACTCTGCTTGCAATTTGATTTTGACCTTATCCCTGAACATTAGGGCAATTTATTGTTGCCATTTGACATGTCAAGTGTTAATGCAAAATCATTAAGTTAAAAATGTTATTTGCTAGCTATCTGGAGCTAACTTTAAAGGAATTTAGTTGAAGCAGTGGTGTGATAAAAGTTATATTTCTCTAAGTATTTTAAACTCTTCTGCTTAAATGTGTTTATTGAAGTAATACAGGTGTTTTTCTGTCTACTTTCCTTATTCAGGTAGTGGAGGTGTATGGTCTTCTAGCCTTGGGAATGTCCCTGTGGAATCAGCTGGTAGTCCCTGTTCTTTTCATGGTTTTTTGGCTTGTCTTATTTGCTCTTCAGATTTACTCCTATTTCAGTACTCGGGATCAGCCTGCGTCACGTGAAAGGCTTCTTTTCCTTTTTCTGACAAGGTAAGTAATAGGAGTCCATGATATTTTTTAGGACCTAAGGAAGAAAAAACTTGAAATAGTGAGTTTTGCAAGTTGACTTCTGTCAGTGATATTATGGTCCTTCATATTAAAATAGGGTTTTCATTCAATGGCTGCCTAGGTCTGGCAGGGTAGGGAGGTACTAATAAAATATTGGGTCGGGTACAGCAAGTGATTTGTGGAATGGTACATGGCAAATTAAAAAATGTGGTTTTTTTTTCCTTTTTTCAAGTTAAATGATTGGGTCAATAGGAAAAAATGACTGTCATTTACTAAATATTTAATATGTGGCAGTCACACATTGCTTAACATTTTCTCCCACACTTAATCTTTATAGTAATTCTGAGAAATAGGTGCCTTTATTGTCATTTCCTCTATACAGCTGAGGAAATAAACCAACAGTTACTTACCCCAGTGGACACTGTTGACCCCAGAGCCTATCTGATTGCAGACCTCTGGCCTGTGTGTTTCCCTGCATGCCCTTGTTTTCATTATTCTGCTCTGCTGTGGACATGGGGTCAATGATTAGTAAAGTGAATATTTCATAGTGCCTTTACCATTTAGCCTAAAGGATTTCTGAGACTTGGTTTCTAAGGTTTAGTTTTAAAAAAAGTTTTAAGTCATGAACATGCTTTCTACAGTTCTGTCTATGTGGGACCTGCTTTCCCACTCAGAGTTTAAATTTCAAGCCCTCAAAATCCAGCACATGGTTATACATGTTTCTTCTCTGGCTCATTGTCTCTTTAAAAAGCAAGAATGGAATTCTGGAATGGCAGTATAGGAGGATGAAAGTTTGAGTTGTAGTTAACAGTACCATCGTTTCTCAGCTGTCCAGAATGATGGTGCACCATGTACTGTGGCATAGAGAATGAGAGGCTGAAGGCACATTCGCTGTCTGTAGGAAGCACAGTATTTGTTAAGAGTGCAGACATTATACAATGTTAAATATCAATAAAAATGTCATGGGACAATGCTTATATAAACATGTAAGTAGAATACATTTATTGCTACTGAGTCAGATTTTGTACTTTATAAAAGTAGTCCTTTTAATTGATAAGTATCTTTGATAAACATTCAATGGCTTTATCTCAGTCGACCACATTTAGTGATCAGTTCATTATTTGTTGTGTATTGTGGAGGTTTTTAGCAGAATTTTGAAATGATTCAACCCTTCCCCATCCCCGAATTTAAAGAGGAAGAGAGATGTACAATCCTGTAGTAGGATAATAACCTGAATGTAAAACTGGGGATGGTTGTACTTTAGACCAGAATATTAACCACTGTAAAGCACAGTCAGTATGCAATAATGTAATAGGCTCAGCAAATGTGTTTTTGACTTATTTTTCAAAATAAAATAGTATTTTAAAAAATGTTATTTTTTTAAATCTACATAGCATTGCATGTAAGTTTCAAGTGTACATCATTGAAAATTGACATGATTATAGAGATTTTAGATGAGGTTTACATAGCTTGTCAAAATTATTTTTCCTCTCTATTCCTTTTACATACATATGTCTTTTCTTTCTCTAAATGAGGATATTTTACTTTTTATTTTTTTTTAAAGATTTATTTCTATTTATGCATACAAGAACTGGGGTATAAGCCAGAGGTGTGGGGGGGGGGTGGTGGGAGAGTGAGGGGATTCACTAGAAGCAGAGTGGGGAGCAGGACAGGTAGATCTACTGAAATACACTGCTGAGGGGAGCAGTGGGCAAGACAGGAGAGGTCTGCTGTGCCATATGGGTTATTTCCCTGACCCAGCATTTAACTCATGCTGCAGTGGCAGGCGATAGCTTGATTAGTGCTGAGTCTTTAACCCCTGTGCCACCAAGGAGACCCTTACTTTGGTTTTTGATAGAGAAGCTTCCCATGTTGTTTAACTTAAGTCTCTGTAAGTGTTGTTCTCTGCCCTTGCTGGTATTGTATACAGTCAGGTTTGTGTGTTTCCTTGCCAAAGAATGACTTACTTACAAAAAGAAAGATTGCAAGTTTCCCAGTATGTGCTGACTAAACCAGCCAGCAAAAGCATAGACACAAACTGAAAAAAAGAAGGGTTTTTTTGCAGCCAGAAAAGAGAAATTAAAATCTATAAAAGGTCTCATTGAAGAGAGAAGGGAAGGAAAGTTTTATAAATTTCCCAGACTCTTTCACTTCCCCAACCCTACGCTGAGATCTTCTGTCCTTTTTTGAAAATTAACATAGGTGCTTTTATGGTCAGAGAAAAGAATATGCTGCTCTTGAAAATGTAGTGCAGTCACATTGTTTGGGTACAAATGATCTCTCTTAGTGTGCAGATTGGAATAGAGAAAGAAGATGGACTTTCAGTAAAATTTTCAGTCTTTTCCAATGAGAATGAAGTAAAAACTTCTAGCGTTATTCCCAGCCATGATTGTCATTTTAAAAAAATATTACTGGGCAATTTGTTTAAACATGTTAGTCATTTCTGTGAGAAAAATGTCAAGTGTTTGAGAAATTTGGTTTGGAAGGCTACATAAAGTTATTTAATCTGTCAACTATGATGATTGGTATGTATTTTTTGACTTCTAAAGAAAATGAAACATCATTTTCCTCGTCATAGTATATACGTTGATCTGCTTAAAATTTATTGCTTTCAGATAAAATCTAGTTTATATACAGTTGTGTGGGAAGGCTATCTCTGTAGTAGAATCTTGAGCTGTATTGTATAGAACAGGTATTAATATTCCTGAAGGACTCCTCACTCAAACTAAGTGAAATTCTCTGAAATTGGAAAACTTAAGATGAAGTGCTTTGAGCATTTTTAAAGATGCTGTGTAAATATTAAACCTAAATTATTAGCATGTAACATTACGCGTTTATAAAGTACTTGTTAAAAAGTTAATATCTAGTATGTTTGATGAACGTATTGAATTTATTTCCATAAAATAGGAAAATATTGCCAATCTTTAGCTTAATTACCATCTTCCAGTTCACCCTCTCTGTAATTTATAGCTTTTTATGTTGAAAAACGATATAAAAATTAAGTGACCTTGTATATGCTTTTGAAATAACCCAGAAAAAAATGCATTAATCTCAAGTTAAATTAAAATTTAAGGTACCAGTGGTGTAGAAGATACTGTTCAAATGAGAAGGGTGGATAGGATAGACTCAGCATTGGCCCCACCCATAGCAGTTTAGTCAAATATGGAGTTTTTTCCTCCTCCTTTGTATAGAGTAATAAGTAATAAGTTACAGGCTGAACATTTTGAGGGGCCAGCACTTTTCAGAAAGAATAGTAGATAGTTGTGTAAGTTTCTTTCAAATGTCATCAGCATGTTAATTTTATGTTTCTTAAGATTAAAATGAGATTTCAGCCCCCTTGAGTTTTATTGCATTTGAAGGAGACTATAAATAAAATTAAAAAGGTTATATTTCAGATACGGTGCTGTGTACTATTTGGGGAAGAGATAAAAATGTAGGTCAGGAAAATAAGAAGAATGGATTTGAATTATTAATGGAGTGGCTAAGAGATTTCACCTCAAATTTTGGTTTGGGATATTATAATTAATGAGGATCAGATCAAACTTGGTGGTTATTTTTAAAAACTTCACTATTCGTATTCCAAATAGAAAAAGTTATGTCTGTCATGTTCTCTTCTTTTTCCAGTATTGCTGAATGTTGCAGCACTCCCTACTCGCTTTTGGGTTTGGTCTTCACAGTTTCTTTTGTTGCCTTGGGTGTTCTGACCCTCTGCAAGTTTTATCTGCAGGGTTATCGAGCTTTCATGAATGATCCTGCCATGAACCGGTAAGTTCTATACTCCGAATGTCTAGAAATTTAAATCTTAGTGTAACTTGGAGAAGTAATGATGAAATTTCCTTATTAACTAATTTTAGAGGAAATGGAATTTTGAGGCTTTTTGTTTGAAATTTTGCAAAGTTTGCATTAAAATACTGTGAAAAGACAGCAAAAGTCATAGGTGTAAAAGCTGTATTTAATTTTTGTAGCTGACTGTATATTGGACATATTCCTGGATTTATTTAAAAGATTTTTGATAGCTTGCTTTTTCCCATTTTAAGTGTAGCCCTGTCAAAATCAGATTTTTATATTTGATACTTTTTTAAAGTTTGTTTTTTAATGTTTGAACATATTTCTAATACTGATTATAATTTTTGAAGTATACATTAATGAGAATGCAGAGTAGTGAGTGGTAGTTGTTAAGCCACTAATTTCTGGGAAACCCTATTTGTAGAACTTGTCTTGATTTCTATTATCTTACATAAAAGTTTAATGGTTTCAATTTATATATACAACTGAAGTCTTTAAGTCTTATGGAATATGTCACAGATAGTAGATGGTGAGTTGTAAATTAAGGAAATTAAGGAAAAATTGCTTTGGTATATATGTTTTTTATGACCTAAAAGAAAAAGACAAATGACCATCATCTTCTGCCAGTCTCAGCTGGCACCTTAGTACTGGAAAAGGTGTGTGGGGGGAGACTGATGACCAGGAAGAAAAATAGTGTATGTATGAATTCCTGAAATTCATATTATTCATGAAATATATAGTGGAGAGTGACAGGTTCCCATCCATACTACTCATTTCTTTTCCCCAAAGTAACAGCTATAGATGGTCATTAAACAATTTCTTATAAAGTCAATATATATGCTTATTTATTTTTATTTCCATATGTTATATATACTGTTGTACCTCATTTTGTCACTTAGTGTGTTTTAGGTTTTTTTGTTTTTTTTTTTAAATCAGCACACAGATACATACCCTCATTCTTTTTGACGAAGGTTTACTAATCCATAATATAGAGGTACCATATTTGTTGATTTTTAATTAATGAAAAAGAATGCTGCTGAGTATCTTTGTACCTGTCTCTCTTTTCTGAAAAAACCCTTAATTAGAAAAATTTCCAACCAAGTTGAGAGATTAGTAGCATGAATCTCCATGAACCCATCTTCTACTCCCAACAGTATGGCCAATTTTGTGTCTTATGTGCCCCTGTCACCCCTTCTCACCCTATCTCTGCCCCCATAACCTCCTGGCTGCACCTGCTTATCTGTCAGCAGATCCCAGATATATTATCAGATAACCCATAAATACTTAGGTCTATAAATCATTTGGACAAAGCCAAAAAATAATGGAATAAAATAATTCCTTGAAAATCAAATGTCTGTTTGGTGTTCAAATTTCCCTAGTTACCTAGAATTTTTTTTTTCTTTAATATTTATTTATTTATTTATACAAGCACTGGGTACAGTCAGAAGTGCGGGAGGGTGAGAGAATTCACCAGAGCCAGAGTGGGGAGCAGAGCAGGCAGAAGGACCGAAGTACACTGCTGAGGGGAGCAGCGGGCGGCAGGAGAGGTCTGCGCGCCATGTGGGACCCTCCTCCGGTGGCCGAGGAGCAGCCGGGGATTGAACTGGTGCTGCAGAGGCTGCGGGCAGCTTCGGAACCCAGCGCTCAACCGCTGCGCCACCGGGGAGGCCCCCTACCTAGAATTTTTAAACTTTTTTGCTCAACTCAGTATTCAAACAAGGCCCATATTGCAATTGATGATAGGCCTCTTAGATCTCTCTATATTTAGCTCCAGGTTATCTATATATTTTCTCTTGCATTTATTTGTTGAAGACACCAGGTTATCTGTGTGACTTTTGCTGATAATAGCCTGTGATAGCACAGAACATATTCTATTCATTGTATTTTCTCTTAAACATATATCTAAACATTTTATGTATAATTCAGCCAATGTCTTAAGAATGATTTAGAGAAGTATCTGGCTCATTATTAAAGTCTGGTTAGAAAACGCTTGTTTATTTCTCATAGAAGTTGCTTTTCCGCTCCCCACTATATGCTAAAGTAATACCTATTATGTTTTGTATGTGATATGATAAATTATTATTGTATATTACTATGTTGATGTAGTGTGGTAAATTATATTTTGATCCAGACTTCTGTCTAAGTTAGAATAGATCACAAATATGTAACAACAGTCTCATAGGTCTTTGGATTATTTCTTCTTGGAATCTGATGAGATTCTGATTATTGTTTGTTTTTGTGTAAATGCATGCTTCTTTAGGGGCATGACGGAAGGAGTCACACTGTTGATCTTGGCGGTGCAGACAGGCCTGATTGAGCTGCAGGTGGTGCACCGGGCCTTCCTGCTCAGCATCATTCTCTTCATTGTCGTGGCTTCTATCCTCCAATCCATGCTGGAGATAGCCGACCCCATCGTGCTGGCGCTTGGAGCTTCTCGAGACAAGTGAGGAGCTTCTGTAACAGTCTTTAAACAGATTCTTTGTCTGCTGAGGTTTGGAGAGACAAAGTGGAGAATTGCTATTAGCTGACATTAACAAACTCAGGTTTTTTTAATGTCAAATCAAATTTTATTCAGAAGCCAGTTTGCGAATACAGTATTGTATAAGCCAAAATTTTTAAGACAAAGTTTATTTATTTATTTTTCTGTCATATAGTTTCTTTATTTTATTTCTTTATTTATTTTAACAAATTCAGTTTTAACTTTTCCTGTATCCTTTTCTGTTTCTTTCCTCTTACGATCCCTCTCACCAAAGTCACATCTAAGGCTGTACATCTTGCTCTTCAGAGAAATGTAATATATATACATTTGTCCACTTTAAAACTTAAGAATGTAGAGCATAAAATTTAGTCCAGTAAATAAATAGTATATAATTTTTTCTGTGTAATGCTAAAGGTGAGAAAACATTTGAGAGATGTATAAACAGAGGAGAGAGATAAAGGCCATCAGACAATAATAGATGCCTTAATGGAAGACTAGCTTCATCTGATGGTCTTGGAGACAGTTGTAGCTCAGTGAGCTTGTGAAGGGGATTTCTGACACCTCAGTGAATTGATGGAATTAATAACTGATTCATATTTATCTCATAGTGTAGGAATTTTCTTAAGAAATTTTCTTAAGTCAAATTATTCTTTAGCTCTGTAAGATATTATTTTATTATAGTCTATAGAAGGATACAACTCTTTTTTCCCAATATTCTATCTATACTCTGATTAGTGATAGAAAAACATCCCGATTTATTGTTGATTTGAAGGTTTTTCAGGACTAAGGGAGCAGACAGTCTTTCAAAACATGGAATTTTGACAGCAGATTTTAAAAACATTCCAAATTAGCATTTGGAATGATGATTACTTTGGAATGCCAGTACTTACGAGATTTATCTTCCTCATGTTGCCAAACATCCTGGATATTTTTTCAAATGGTTAGAATTGTTGAATCAATTCAATTTAAATAAGCCCAGAATTCTTAGCTATGTTTCAGAAAATCTTTATTTTCAATTATAGTCATTTGAGATTTGGTTTAAGGTTTCTCAATAAAACATAAAGATGTTGGGGCCTCCCCGGTGGCGCAGTGGTTAAGCGCTGGGTTGCGAAGCTTCCTGCGGCCTCTGCGGCGCCGGTTCGATCCCCGGCTGCTCCCCGGCCATCGGAGGAGGGTCCCACATGGCACGCAGACCTCTCCTGCCGCCCGCTGCTCCCCTCAGCAGTGCACTTCGGTCCTTCTGCCTGCTCTGCTCCCCGCTCTGGCTCTGGTGAATTCTCTCACCCTCCCGCGCTTCTGACTGTACCCAGTGCATGTATAAACAAAACAAACAAACAAACAAATAAATAAATAAAACATGCCTCTATAAAAAAAAATTAAAAAAAAAAAAAACATAAAGATGTTGAACTGAGTGTTGAGCTCAGGTAAATAGCTCAGATAGCTCTGAAAAAGGGGTTGTTTTGACCTCAGAGGTTTGTCACCTGTGAGTATCCTTTAGCTTTCATAATTATTTAAATTAATTTAGCCTCTATTGACTAACACTACAGAGTCTGGAAAAGAGAAATAAAACCACAGTTTCACTGCCATAAGGGCCAGTAAATCCAGTTCTGGATCCTCCGGAGTACTGACATAGTCTCAGTGTGGTAGAGGAAATTTGGAGTGAAAGTAGCAAAGCTGAGAAGTCCTGGTTTTGCTGGTGTTATTGTGGTGTCTGCAGCATTAACCTCAGGCAGGAATAAACTAGGAATGGACCATTAGCTTCTCTTTTTCTCTACCTTGGCTGCTTATGGGAATAAGGTAATATCAACAGCCAATACTGTTGAAAACAAATGAAATGGAAAAGTTATGAGAAAAATATAGCTTACTAGAATGGATTTAAGAAGAACTAAATACTTGGCTAGGACCATAACTTTTAAAAAATTGAGCAACTGGTGTGTATGTTGACCCAGATGTCAAGTTCTGCCAAACTTGGAGAAGCTGATTATCCCTATTTTAAACAAACACTTTCAGACAGTAGATGAAATAGCCCCATAAATCCACAGAAATTTTCCACCTTTCCTCATGTATGATCTCTATATTAAAATTAGATAATTTGAGAAATAAAGTTTTATTTCACTCATAGTAGGAGATATTATGAAGCTTTTGTTATATTGAATCAAGTGTAACAACCTGACAACTGGAGCAGAGAGCCCCCAAACAATTCTCCCTGTGTGTGAAACTTGGGTGTGTGGTGGAGTGGCATGTCAGATGATTGGGAACATGGAGGACTCCTCTGTAATAGAATAGTTTCCATTTAGAAAAAGAGGGACTTGGATTCCTGTCTCGTACTCCAGAATGTTAGAGACTTAAATGTGAGAAGCCAAAAATTAAGACAACACACAGGTTGATGTATTTTGACCTTCAAGTAGGGAAGATTTCTTACACTGACAAAACCAAGAAGAGAGACACTAAGTATTGACCATGACCACGAGAGAAGAGAGGGATAAATATAATAGTCATGCTTTCAAACGAAAAAAGTAACAAGTAAATTAGAAATGATTTTGGCTACCCAGTAGACGGCATCTCTAGTATTCACACTTATCCAGAAATTAGTATCAAAAATATATTAAACAGCTCTTACAAAGCGATGAGGGAAATGGTTAAAATATATCCTCAGGGGGCTTCCCCTGGTGGCGCAGCACTTGAGCACTGGGCTGAGAAGCTGCCTGCAGCCTCTGCAGCACCGGTTCAATCCCTGGCCACTGGCGAGGGTCCCACATGGCACACAGATCTCTCCTGCTGTGCCCGCTGCTCCCCTCAGCAGTGTATTTCGTCACTCTGCCTGTTCTGTTCTCTGCTGTGGCTCTGATGAATTCTCTCACCCTCCCACACTTCTGACTGTACCCAGTGCTTGACAAATAAATAAATAAATAAATAAATAAATAAATAAATCTTAAAAAATATATATATATATATCCTCAGGCTTTTAGCTAAAGAGGAAACATAATCTGAAGACAGGATTAGCATCATGAGTGATCAGAGAAATGTAAATGAGAGCACAATGAGAGACTATTTCAAAACTATGGGATCAGCAGTGAATAAATAAGAAAAGAAGGGAAAAAGGGAGAGAGAAAGTCAGCTAAGGGCTAGCATGGAGAGAACACAGATGGCAGGACAGCCCAGGTTTAGAAAACATCTGGGCGTTTTCGCCTCCTCTGTATACACTTGAGACAGGTTCAGTAGGAACATGTTGAAGAATGTTCATAGCACAGTTAACAATAACAAAAACCTAGGGGCCACCCAAATACCAATCAGACAGGAAAGTGAGTGAATAAAAAATGTAATGATGGTCAGTGGATGTTAAAAATACAATGACAAAACAGTATGAACGATTCATAGCAATATAAAGTAAAAAGAAATCTGAAAGGATGACAATGTTGAATGTTATTTTCATGTTAAAAATTTGTTCTTCAGGAATAGATACAGATTAAACAGAACTATAAAATGGACGTAAGCAAGAGAATGAAGAACATGGGATTTAAGAGAATGGTTTCAATGAGTGGAGGGAGGCAGGACATGGAATGGGCAGGCCTGCCTTGCCGGGTAGATGTCAGGTTCTGTCCAGGCCCTCACTTTTGTATGGGAAGATGGTTTCATGAATGTTTTATTTTTTTTTTTTTTGAGATTTATTTATTTATGCATACAAGAACTGAGGTATAGGCCACAGGTGTGGGGGGTGAGAGGATTCACCAGAGACAGAGTGGGGCACAGAACAGGTGGATCTACTGAAATACACTGCTGAGGGGAGCAGCAGGCAAGACTGGAGAGGTCTCCTAAGCCATGTGGGTTAGCGCCTTGGCCAGGGATCGAGCTCATGTTGCAGTGGCTGTTCATAGCTTGATAGCACTGTGTCTTTAACCCTTGTACCACCAGGGAGGCCGGGTTTCACGAATGTTTTATGTAAAACAGTGAATCATATTATTAACTAAATAAAATAGGAATATATAAAGCCCAGAGATCACGGACTATGATTAATTCAATTCAGTGTACTGGGAATTAAAAACGGAAATGAAAAGGATCTTAATTCTCAAGTTAGAGGAACAATTAAGAGAATGTTTATAGTTCATGAAACAGTTTTCTGTGTCATTAAGAGGCAAATTGTTAGTGGGAAAATCCACTTGCATCTTTGGAATTGCTTGGAAAAATGTCTTAGATAGTTTTGGCCATGGAGATAATGTTTTATCTGTACATTTCAGTACAGTTTTTACAGGAAATTTGACAGTTAAACTTACTAATTCAAATCAATAACATTTGTTGATAAATTTTTTTAAAAATGGGCTTGCGGTGAATATAAAAATTTGTCTTTTTGTCACGGTCTAATTGAATGGGATTTTGGTGGTGTTTTCCTGGTATTTATATTTAATAAAGATACATTTTTTATTGACTTTTAATGGCTTAAGGAGATCTATGTATTAAATATTTTTGTATATTATGCATGCCTATGTCAAAATTAGCCATGAATGTGTAAAAGTCATGGCACATGTATATGGTTTTCTGCATATGTATATAAATACATGCTTGTGTATAGATGTAAATATATACATGCTTAATCTAAATGGGCCTCCCTGGTGGTACAGGGGTTAAAGTCTTGGTGCTATCAAGCTATTGCCAACCACTGTGGCATGAGTCTAATCCCTGGCCAAGGAACTAACCCACCTGGCACAGCAGACCTCTCCTTACTCGCCTTCTGCTCCCCTCAGCAGTGTATTTCAGTAGATACGCCTGTTCTACTCCCCACTCTGGTGCATCTCCTCACCCCCCCTACACCTCTGGCCTACACCCCAGTTTTTGTATGCATAAATAAATAAAATAAATCTTTTAAAAAATAGACTTAGATTTTAAGGCAAATAATCTCATTAGTAAGAATTATCTAACATAGTATAACTAATGTTGGAATAATTCCTTCCTGCTTGCTTGTCTTTAAAAAAATAAAATTGTTTATGTTTTGGATCTCAAGGCAGAGCTACTGATAGGTTTACATTTGTCCCTGACTTCTGATAACAGAAATGTTCGGGAAGAAAAACACTTTGCAAAATATCTAGCTTTAATTTTTACCATAATAATTCACTTTCTTCTCTGAATTGCTAATTATAGGCAATCCCACACATTATAGCATTTGACTTGTGTGTGGTTATATTTTCTCCCACCTATATTAAAGCTAGAAGTAGGAAAGGATGATTGTGCTACTTTTTGTCTCATAAGAATACTTTTCATGGATTTGAGAACATATCACAGATGCTGATACTTAGTTTAAACCATTTTGTTGCATCTTTTAATTATTTTGATTGAAACCTAATTTCCTTATAATGGTTTTAAATAATCTATGGCCATGTTTATATGAAATAATTAAGTAACAATTTTAAATCTTGATACTCAGTTAGCTAGATTGCAAATTGTTTTCAAGAGAGGGGAAAGCTGTTTTGTGCTCACATTGATTTTCTAGATTTGTGATCATTATGTTAAAGGTTACTCTAACCTTGACTTTTATTTGGAAATCTCATGTGCTTTTTAAAAAATCCCCTGATAGAAGTGATAAAAATCCGTCAGTAATCCGTTTGCTTATAAATTGGGTATACAAAGTAAATAGTGAACTTGCAAGGGGCAAATCACACATTTTTAAAGTGTGCTTTAAGTGCTGCTTCAGGTACTTGTTGGGGAGGGCTTTTGTAAATTCATCTTTTAGGAGTTGGTATACAGTCTGTCTTTTATTGGGGTATATTTAAAGAACAAACTATTAGACTATTATGGTATGTGAAGAGGTAAACAAAAGAAAATTTATACTCTTTTTTTTTTTTTTTTTTCCTTTACCATAACTTGGAGTTTCTCCTATGTGGGTGTTCCTCTCTGACAAGTAGACTTTTTCTTCTATGTGGGCATTCCTCTCTAACAAATAGAGTTCAGAAACTGAAATCTAGGTCTAAGAAATAAATCCACTGATGTTCCATGTCTTAAAGCTTCAAGTTTCAGGGCCTCCCAGGTGGCGCAGCGGTTGAGCGCTGGGTTGCGAAGTTGCCCGCAGCCTCTGCGGCGCCGGTTCGATCCCCGGCTGCTCCCCGGCCACCAGAGGAGGGTCCCACAGGCGCACAGACCTCTCCTGCCGCCCGCTGCTCCCCTCAGCAGTGTACTTCGGTCCTTCTGCCTGCTCTGCTCCCCGCTCTGGCTCTGGTGAATTCTCTCACCCTCCCGCGCTTCTGACTGTACCCAGTGCATGTATAAACAAAACAAACAAACAAAAAAAAAAACAAACAAATAAAAAAAAAAAAAAAAAAAAAACATGCCCCCATAAAAAAAAAAAAATTAAAAAAAAAAAAAAAGCTTCAAGTTTCACATGTAACCGTGCCCTTGTGAAGTGACCATGATTACTTGGTCCTGCTTACATCAGAGGGCTCTGCATTTGAGTAGGATGGATGGGTAGTAAGAGGAGGTAGTAATAGTTGGAAATATCAAGCAGAAATAATTGTTGGCACTTGCTTCAAACAAGCCTTTGTGCTTAGGAGCTGGAATAAATGAAAGATTTACTCTCTTCAAGGAGTTTACATTTGGAGGATAAGGCTTAACATATATACACATTAATATGTAAAAATATTCAGATGTATAAAACAATACTGTAGGAATATATAAAAAATACATAAATATGTGTAATTGGAACAATGTGCACGTAGTTCAAGTGTGAGTAATTCTGAGAGGGTAGGTGATTTCTGGTGATTTACATTACCTGCATATGAAAGTACTTGTTTACTTTCAGCTGGCCTAAAGCAGTTAGTAAAATAGAGTGGATGGAGGGATTTCTGGTGGGCTATAAAAGTACTTGTGTTTTTCGGGGAGGTCGGTTAATTACCCATCCTAACTTACAGTGAGGAGCAGATGTTGACAGTTTGGGAGTAGAACCCCTCTTATGCTAGGCTAGGAACACAGGAGATGTGTTGACAGTGTTACGTTGGTAGAGCTCTAAGAAGATGCACTGGGCTTGCAATGTGCAGGGCACACTGGGGCCAGTGGGTGGAAGGTCAGTTTAGGAGGCCTCCCAACACAGTGGCCCATGGGAGGACTGTGTGCTTGCTCTTGGAGGCCAGGTTCTCTGGGTACCACCACTCTCACATGGCAGAGAGTTCATCACAGGCTGGGGTGGTGGGAGAGGATGTTAAGGGACTTTAAAAAGACCAGAATCACTGTGAAATTTGTTAAGGTATAATGCTATAAATCTGAAATTGCTTCAAAATTGCTAGGAATGGGAATGAAACCGAAATAAATGATTGAGAAAAAAAGACAAGTACTTGGCAGTTGAGTGAGTGTGGGGAGAGGAGAGAAGGATGAGGACCGGCCCAGGGAAGGGAGCTCAGGACGGTGTCTTGACACGCAAATTGCCCCTGGTCTTGTGCTGGGTGACAACTCTTGAACTGAGTCCTTTTCTTTTTCCAGGAGTTTGTGGAAACACTTCCGTGCTGTGAGCCTTTGTTTATTTTTACTGGTATTCCCTGCTTATATGGCTTACATGATTTGCCAGTTTTTCCACATGGACTTTTGGCTTCTTATCATTATTTCAAGCAGCATTCTCACCTCTCTTCAGGTAAGCATAGGATTGATTGACTCTAGCCAATTTAAACTTACTAAAGCAATTAAAGGCTAATTCCTTAAAAGTTAAGGGATTAAACTTTTTCAAGATTATAAGTGGCCTGTTTAATTCTCACCATGTTTACTAGAATGCATTTATTTATCTATATATTTATATTATTTATAAATAAATTGCATTTATTTGAGAGGAGTTAGAAGTTAGGTTTATTAACATACTAGATCTCCTGTCTTTGTCACTGTATTTTTTTTTTAAATCAAAGTAATTAAACTTTGGGCCTCCCTGGTGGCGCAAGGGGTTAAGACACAACCTATGAAGCTGTCTGCAGCCACTGCAGCATGTGAGTTCGATCCCCGCCCAGGGAGCTACCCACATGGTGCAGCAGACCTCTCCTGTCTCACCTGCTGCTTCCCTCAGCAGTGTATTTCACTCAGTCTGTCTGTTCTGTTCCCCACTCTGTCTCTAGTGCATCCTCACACCTCCTGCACCTCTGGCCTATACTCCAGTTCTTGTATGCATAAATAAATAAATCTTTTTAAAAAAACAAAGTAAGTTAACTTTGCATTTTATCTTTTTCTAAAGGGTATGATACAGAGCTGTCATGTAAACGTTAAATTGCTAAGTAACTAATACTAAAACATTTCATAGTTTATTTGGAACACTTAAATATGTAGTTTCATGATGTAAATAAATGTATGTTGTGTTACGCACAGTATGTTTTCTGCATAAATGCACATGCTCACTATCCTTGAAAATAATAAGCTTATTATAACTTAAAAGTGGATCTTTGTTGCATGGATTTGTTGCAATAAGAAGTGAATTTGTTGCAATAAGTGGATTTGTTGCAATAAGAAGAAAAAGAAATGGTGGCATTGTCAATAAAGATTTATTCACATACCTTATAGAAGTAAAAATTCTTTGAGAATTAAGGAACAAGTCTCACTATAAACTTAGGAAAATTTAGATAGAATTTGGATAGTATTTGGTGAGCTGGGGAGTACGGGGAAATTAGGGCTATCTACTAGAATCATTTTAGGAGAATTAAGTTTCAAGATTTGGGCTTTGACGTTTCTAATACATGGATTGCTGAGATCACCCACATTCAGTCTCCTCTAGATACTGAATATGGTTTTCTAAAAGTACCAGGAATGTGTTACTGTTTAATGTCCATGAAAAGTCTTTTTCTTCATGAGCTTACTCTGTTTTAATATATTTTTTTCTTTTAGGTTTTGGGAACACTTTTTATTTATGTGTTATTTATGGTTGAGGAATTCAGAAAAGAGCCAGTAGAAAACATGGATGACGTCATCTACTATGTGAATGGCACGTATCGCCTGCTAGAGTTCTTGGTGGCCCTCTGTGTGGTGGCCTATGGTGTCTCAGAGACCATCTTTGGAGAGTGGACAGTCATGGGCTCCATGATCATTTTCATCCATTCCTATTACAATGTGTGGCTTCGTGCCCAGCTGGGCTGGAAGAGCTTCCTACTCCGCAGAGATGCTGTGAATAAGATTAAATCATTGCCCATTGCTACGAAGGAGCAGCTTGAGAAACACAATGATATATGTGCCATCTGTTACCAGGTAATGCCCAAGGAGGATCCATTTGGGTGGGTTATACAGCATGTCCCTGCGGACTTTTACAATGTCCAAGTTTATCTTAAATTTTTGGGCAAAATTATCTCCTGGGTAAAAAATTGGCTCAGAAAATTAAAGACTCATCCAAATTCTGTCTTAAATTTTTCATTTTATTCTAAATTAAGCTTATGTTTCAGTTCAGGTTCTAATTTATTGTTATCTTCAACATTATTGCTCACCCATAAATAAAGGAAAAACAGGTCAGGTGTATTTTATATTTGCTCCTGAATATACAAACAACTTTTTCAAATAAGTTTATGCAGAGTCAGTGGCTTCTGAAAAGTGCTGTGCCAAGTTTGACTCCCCACTGGTTTCCAGCTGGGAAGAAGTGTCTATTCACTTACTGTGGAGAGGAGGCCATCTGCACAGCATAGGCCAGGGGATATGCCTGTGTGGAGGTGTCAGTATGCGGGAGTCCCTGTAGAAGTGAGGTTGCAGGGACTGTCCATCTTACAAGGCTGCTCTCCAGTTTGCCTGGGTGTGTTTTTAGGACTATATAGAGTAAGAATTCTTTTAGGAGTAAAAGGCAAGGAAATATTGTGATTAGATAGTATATGGGTAGTAGCAAAATGACATTTTTGCACTTGAGGGGAGAGGGCATCTGAACTTGCCCCCAAGTTCAGTGTAATGATGTAGATTCTTTGTGCTGGAGCCTCACTTACTCCCTTCAGGATTAGCAGAGAAGCCTAACTGTCAGAGGTCTATGACTGTTCCATCAGGGGATGTAAGAGTCTTCATTTTGTGTTTCCTGTTGTCACATCACTTTTTTTGAGGTGCTAGAACTGCCTGCAACTATCCCCCAGAGAGTGAAAGTTAGATTGCTTAATTCCCAGCTGGCTGCTCTTCCTTGGATGGCTTTCTGCTTAAAAGCTCCCCCTGGGTCACCATTCTTGGCATGGACCTTGAGCAGCAGCCACAAAGCCTTATTTGGGGACTTTAAACAATGATGGTTTTTTCACCAAATGTGTATTCTTACAACTTCATGTCCTCAGCTTTCTTTGCCCAAATGTATCTTGTGCAAGGAATATCAATGCCAAGTATCCACTTCCTATTCCAGTGGTTATCAAATTTGATAGTGCATAAGAGTCACCTGGCTTGTTGTGCTTATAAATTGTGAGCACCTCTCAAACACCTGGATTCGGTAGGTCTGGGGTGGTGAGAATATGCATGGTTAGCACTCCAGGGGTGCTGATGTAATTTGAAAAATGCTGGCTTACACAGACCGCCTCTTGAAAGCCCGGGTTATGCATTGTCCGTAATGAAATTGCCTCTTCCTTGCCAACATCTTCGTTTTAGGTGACTATAGTTGTTTCCTTACCAGTCACCTCATCATGAACAGATTTATTTGGCTGTGTTGTAGTATAAACATGGGAAAGTGCTGTCTCACCATGTTTTCTGGGGCTCTAATTACCCTCCTGCCTTACCCAGGTAGTCCCAGTGGTCATCTCTATACTTGGGGACCCTTGTGTTTCATAATCAGGCTGAACCCGGTTCAGAAGATGGTTTCCCCCTCATTTTTGATTTTTCCTTTTAAAAATTACTAGCCAGTGGTTCTTGCATTGTCTGCATAGAGGGATTACTGATGGCAAGGGGCTTATTACTGAAATACAAAAATTTCATTCTAAGATTTGTGTTACAGATTTTCTTTGAGGGGTTTTGGGGAAAAAGATGGAAATTTGGGGGTTAACAGCAAGATTTTAGATAACAGGCGTTTATAAGATACCTTTACCCCTTTCTTTTAGGACATGAAATCTGCTGTGATCACCCCTTGCAGCCATTTCTTCCATGCAGGCTGTCTCAAGAAGTGGCTGTATGTCCAGGAGACCTGTCCTTTGTGCCACTGCCACCTCAAGCACTCTGCCCAGCCCCCAGGCTCTGCAGCAGAGCCAGCATCCCCACCTCACACTGGTGTCGAGCCCCATGGTGGGCTGCATCCTCCTGGGCAAGAGCCACCTCAAGGGACCATGGCACAGGAAGGTTCCAGGGACAATGGTGAGTGCATTCCCACAAGTTCAGACAGCCCTGAGGGGGCTCTCGGTCCCCGGGAATGTCCTGTTAGCTCAAACGATGTGACAAGTCCGATGGGGTTCAGCCTAGAAGAACAGCATCAGGAGTGACCTGGGGACACTGGAGCAGAGGACACGCACGTGAAGTCGTGCTCAGACTTGGAGGGAATGTAAGAGGGGGTCGGGCATGAGCCATGACATTCCACAGAGTGGGGCCGCCTGCTTCCGTCTCCTTGATGTTGTGGGAAGAAGTTTGTGAGGCCTCCTCATCACAGAATATCTGTACATCTGTGCTGTCGTCGTGTGGAGGTTCATCCAGAAAATTAGCCTTGGCAACTTCGCAGACTGCTCCTGATTGTGAGGGATGGATAAAACCAGCACTCGGTGTCTGAAGGGGCTGAAGAAAGGAGGCCACAGAGCACGAGACCAGCCTGAGAAGAAGCAGGCAGAGGGGGACCAGGATCGTCTGTCACAGAGTGTGAGCGGTGGTGACTGGCCTTTTTCCTCCACCACCTTCCTCTAGTAATTGGAACTCAGGTGAAATACTGAGTTTGGACAGCACTGAAACAAAATCAAAGATGTCAAAGCATTGATTGTATTCCCAGACCAAAGCACGCGCAGACTTCGCATGTGCTGTAGGGGTGGGGCGGGGGGCGCGGGCCTGCCGGGTACGTTCATGTAATCCAAGACTCTTGACCTCTATGATGGAGTCTTCAATATTTTGATGTATATGAGACTTTTGTTAATATATTGTATACTGTGTTGGCTGTGTGAAGTAAACTAAAACTCTGATGAACACTTTGGAGTCCGCTTCAGTGTAGGAAACCAAAGTGGGAAGGGCTTTAGGGCACTGAGAGAGCCCCCAAGTGTACTTTCCAATCTTGTGTAATGTTTAATTCTTGCAACTGAATCAAAACAGTGTTAAATTCATGGCGATATTTGCACTTGGGGAATGAGTACATAACTGTATGACCACACTCTGCAAATGCCACTTTTAAAGCTGTTAATAGACTTTGCACCTTTTCTTTGACAAGGATGTGTCATACTCAGATTTTTACATTCATCATGGTTACAGGTAGAACTGGGGAGGGGGGAAGGTAATTTTCTATGGGAATTTTGATATGAAAAGAAACTAGTCCTTTATTTATACAATAGGCTTGACTCAAAAAGTGTTTTTCAGACTTGGTATTCTTAATGTGGGATGTGACTTTATTTTATTTTTAGTAGCAAATTTGGATGTAGACTGACAGACATAGCTGAATGTCTCAATAAATTTAAATTTGAAGATAATGTTGTTTTGCTCCAGTGGTGATTATTATTACTGTAAAGTGTTCTGTTGAAATTGTGTTCCGAGGAGGTTCTGTTTTTATCCAACTGGGATTCTTCTACCTGGATCCCTATCAAATGCCTTGTGGGTGGCAGAACTTTTTTATTTGTAAAGATTATACACAGAAGAACTGGGTGTAGGTCAGAGTCAGAGGTGAGGAGTGAGAGGTTTCACCAGAGACAGAGTAGCGAGTGCAACAGGCAGATCTGCTGAAATACACTGCTGAAGGTAGCAGTGAGACAGGAGAGGTCTGCTGTGCCATATGTGGGCTAACTCCCTGGCCAGGGATTGAACTAAGGCTGTGGAGGTGATAGTGCTGAGATTTAACCTCTAGGCTACCAGGGAAGCCCAGAACTTTCTGATTTTTTTTAAAAAAAAAAGTCTTCCAAACCAGCAAACTTAGCTGTATATCAGAAGCATTTGGGAGCTTTTGTTAAGAATCATGTTTCTCACCTCAGACCTACTGAATCTCAGCCTTTGGGGTTACCTGTGGACCTACATTTCAAAGCTCTTGGGTGATTCTGCCCCAACAGCCTGACAGAAGCCCAATTTCATGTTTAGAAAAGAAGAGGCTAGAGAACTAATTTTCCCCAGATGCGACTGAGAGTTGCTAATGTTCAGATTCTGTAGAAATTGGATCAGGTGGCTCCCTCTAGTGGCAGTTTTTATAGAAACAGCTGGTCCCATTTTAGAACCATGGCAAGTGGCTGGTAGGAATAATTTTGATTATTATGTTTTAAAGTGCTGTAAGCTTTTTATTTCTTTTTTTCCATATTGCTTATTATTTGGAAATTTGTCTTTTCAAATTATATCTGATGAGAGCCTGGTTCCCCCTACTAGCGCACCCATCCCCTGGAGTCACTTTTCAGTTTGGCTTCTGAAGTTCAGACACAACCCAATTTTGTAATTTGTCAGTGAAGGCATCCTGTTCCCCCTACCTTTGAACATAAGAGAATGCTATAACTTCACAAAATTGGGTTACAATTTCTGTAGGTAAAGCCACTATTGAAAGTAGACCTTCCTAAGAAACCCTTCAAAAGCCAAAATGGGGTGATGTGAAGAGATTGTGATCATTTCAATGTAAATAATTTTCAATGTTCCCACACCCAATGTATAACCTAGGAAATCGTATCCACAAACATGCAAAAGCTAAAATCACCCCTCCCCCCACCATCTAGAAGCAGCAGGAATGCTGTGATTACACCTGTGTTGAGGGAACCCAACACAGGACCTGGGCAGGATGCTTCTCTGCTCCAGGTGCTGTTTGCCTCTAAAGCAGCTGCTACAGAATCCACGCTGAGCACACTCTGCTTTCTGTGGTAAAATTGGTAATCCTTTCAGGTTTTGTCTAAGTCAGTGAAAACTGGACACGTCGTTCTTTCACAGCAAAGTGACCTGGCAAACTTTCAAAAATGGGAGATACCTGGATTTGCTTTGAAAACAATTTTAAATGCTTTGCAGAACTATTACCCTTGTAGCCGTCAGAAGAAATCCTTCCATTGCTTCCTCTCGTGAATTGGACGTTGGGCTGCAGTGCGTGAACCAGGTTCAGCATGAAGGTAGGACACTACGGTGCTAACTAGTAAAAACTCCCTTTCCTTGCTCTTTCTAATACTGGTACTGCTGTTCTTTTCCTGATCTGTGTTGTATGAATGCTGGCTGTTTGATCATAGTTGGTCTTTTTCCAAAGAGAAAAGCAACTCCTTGCCATTTTATTGTATTACGTAGCTGAGTAAGAGAATGGCTTTTCACCATTTTATTCTGAAATAATCTTCATGGGTGTAGAAGGAATTCTGACCGATTCTAGATGGACTGTTCTGTTACTTTCCGAATGAGAATTTGCTAAACTGAAGTCCTCTCTCCGAGTAGCATCATGCCTGCTAGTTTACTTTTTCATCTGGCCTGGATTTCAGGAAATAGGTAACAGAAGGGGTGAGGAGCCCCTTGTCTAAAAGCAGGAGCTCTGGGCAACAGTACTCACTCACTCTTCAGTGGTTGATCCTCGATCAGTCTTAAGCAGAGACTTTACTGGGTTCAGCCTCATCTGGAAAAATCATCTCTGAGGTATCAGTCTGCTCTTAGGATTTTGCATATCCATGTTTTTCATCTTTACCTTTAACTGATGAGCTTCATAGAATTTTGATTATGGTATGACAAGTTTAGAACTGAGCTCAGGTGCACTTCAGCTCTCTATTTTCTGTCCAGATCAGGAACTCTCTATGTCTCCATTGAGTGAACTCATAGAAAACCCCTTGTTCAAAGATGACAGAAAATTCCATTGGTGTTAGAGGCAGAGTACATGCCAGCCAGAGAAAGTCACTTCCCATCAGTGGTTTTGGATTGTTTGGCAGTATGTAGATGTAGAACTCAGTGTGTAAAACAGAGAATACAAATACTGCGTATTCAGGTGAAATCTGGGCTGATGAATTTTGCTTTGTATTTAGTTTCCATGATGTATTTTTAGAATAGACTAAAAAAATTTGAGGGCCTCCCTGGTGTCCTAAGGGGTTGGGTTTCAGCGCTATCACTGTGACAGCCCACCTCAACAGCCTGGATTCAATCCCCGACCAGGGAGCTGGCCCACATGGGGCACAGCAGACCTCTCCTGTCTTGCCTGCTGCTCCCCTTAGCTCTGTGGCTCTGCCTTCTCTGCTCCCTACTCTGTCTCTGGTGAGTCCTCTTACACCCCTACCCTCACCCCCCTGCACCTCTGGCCTCTATAACAGCTCTTCTATGCAAAAATAAATAAAATACTACAAAAAAATTTTTTTTAATTTGAATTAGTTGGCAACCATTACAAAAAAACTACACATACACACACACACACACACACACACACACACTCTCTGTCTCTCTGTCTCTGTCTCTCTCTCTCTCTCTCTCCATGTGTGGTTTTTCAGAAAATCAGAAGAGCTAGCTGCTTGGGATTACCCATTCCTGTGATACCGAACAGTGGGCAGGTGTTGAGGTGGTTGAGAGGGCATTCTAACTCATCCCAGATCCTCCCCAACACTACCTGCTCTAGGCAGATCATTATCATCAAACTAAGGTTCACATAAGATGCTGAGGATAATGGGCAAATGGTATCTCATTGAGTGAATATTTAATTCCATATTCTAGCTATTCCATATGATCAAAGTAAAACGTAAGAGGCAGTCATTACAAATTAGAAAACAGACAGTAGGGAGTAGAAGAACCACACGCAACCTAACAACTCCTCAGGAAAGAAGCACACCACAAAAAGAAAACCACTCCCCAGATTGCAACGACAGCAACTTGGAAGAACTTCTGAGCCTTCCAGAAAGAGAATTTAAAATTGCCATGATTAAAAAAGTGATAGATCAGAAGAAGGAAATTGAGTCCCTAAAGAGGGAAGTAAGAGAAATGCAGGAGATCAAAGAATTAATGGAGGAACTAAAGAACTCTGGGAAAAGCAATGAAAGCAGAATACATGAAATGGAAGAACGAATAAGTAATCTTGAAGACACAGAAATAAAAAGAACCAAAACAGAAAAGGAAAGAGAAGTACGAAGGAAAAAGAATGAAGAAAGACTTCGGGAACTATCTGACTCCATGAGGAAAGGAAATATAAGAGTTATAGGAATTCCAGAAGGAGAGGAGAGAGATGTAGGAACAGAGAAAATATTCATGGATGTAATTGAAGAGAACTTCCCAAATGCGAAGAAGGAGCTGAAAATTGATATACAAGAAGCAAGAAGAACACCAAACTTCCACGACGAAAGGAAAAACACAGCAAGACACATAATAGTAAAGCTCCCAAGAATCCAGGACAAGGAAAAAATAATGAAGCTGACAAGAGGGAAGAAACAGATAACATTCAAAGGAAAACCAATCAGGCTGACATCAGACTTCTCTGAAGAAACACTACGGGCAAGGAGAGAGTGGAGGGACATAGTCAACAGACTCCAAGAAAACAGATGCCAACCAAGAATACTCTATCCCGCAAAGCTCTCTTTCCTCCATGAAGAAAGAATATGGACCTTCCCAGACAAAGAGAAACTCCGGAATTTCATTGCGACTAAACCCCCACTCCAAAAAATACTACAAGGAATCCTAAAGCCAGAACCTCAGAGGGACGAATAACAACGAAAGAAGACAAAAAAAAAAAAAGTTATTAAAAGAATAAATAAATAAAATCAAAGGAAAGACAAACATAATGGCAAATACAGATGCTAACCTATCAATATTAACTCTAAATGTAAATGGACTAAACTCTTCAATAAAAAGACACAGAGTTGCAGCCTGGATTAAGAAACAAAACCCAACCTTTTGCTGTCTCCAGGAAACACATTTAGCTACAAAAGATAAAAATAGGCTCAAAGTCAAAGGATGGAAAACAATCCTACAAGCAAATGGGCCAAAAAAGAAAGCAGGAACAGCTATACTTATATCAGATAAAACAGACTTCAAACTCAAAAAAATAAAAAGAGACCCCAATGGACACTACATTATGATTAAGGGGACAATACTTCAAGAAGAAATAACACTCATTAACATATACTCACCAAACGAAAGAGCACCAAAATATATCAGACAACTGTTGTCCTCTCTGAAAACAGACATCAGAGAAAACACATATGTAGTGGGAGACTTCAACACACCACTATCAACAATGGATAGATCAACAAGACAAAAAATAAGTAAAGAAACTAAAGCTCTAAATAAGGACCTAGAGCATTTGGGCTTAACAGACATCTATAGAACACTAAACCCCAAAAAAACGGAGTACACATTTTTCTCAAGCGCACACGGATCATTCTCCAGGATCGATCACATACTGGGGCACAAGACAAACATCAACAGATACACCAAGATTGAAATCATACCAACCATCTTTTCTGACCACGAAGGCATCAAACTAGAAATAAATCATAAAAAGAAGGCAAGGAACTATCCTACCTCATGGAGATTAAAAGCCACACTACTGGAAGACCACTGGACTAACGAGGAGAT